CTATTCTCGTTTTTAATCGAAATATTGATAGAATTCACCTTCCACTGTAAACTTTTTTTGGCACGACTCTTTTCAGCCTATCAACATATTCCTTCGGCATGTGACGAGCATAGTCCAGTTCTGTGAATGGTTTTCTTGGTAATCGAAGAACTCTGCTTAGCTGCATTGCACCTTAACAACTTTAATAATCAAACGGATCCATCATTCCAGTTGATCACTTCAGGATCGAACGATTCGCCTTATTTTCTGTACGAGAATTCACTGAAGCATTGAGGAAATTCTAGCTAAAACTCATCATCACTAGCACCCAGTGATCCTGAATAGGTCAAGGTGATGGCAAGGACTAACTTTGTCACGTAAATCGCGACAATGTTGTGCAAAGATAATTAACTTCAAACCTTATAGCAGCTTATAAAATGCAGAAAAACTCAATACGGACTTCCAAACGGTGCAATACAGAAAAGAAATCACGGTAGTCTTTTTGAAGATTGCAAAAACAAACAAACAAACATTCACAGAAAACTGTAGTATGGAATCAAACCAAGACACTTGGAGAAATGGTCACCATGCCACTTATTAGGTTTTATTTAACGATCTGAACCAAACCACACATGGCACTATACTTTTAATTGCACATATTCTTAACAACCTTCAGCACTGTACATGTCTTGATTACGGAATTACATCCCGTCGACATCTTGGGAACAGAAAGAAGTACAAAAATGTATGACATGACAAGGCCAACTTGTGGTTCGATTACTTTACAAATAATATCACAGTGACTTAAACTCCCGACTAAGTTAATTGCTTTCCAAGGAACAAAGCATAAACAATTACAAAGCATAAACAATTAAGTGTCCCGCATCATGATATCCATTTTGGATCCACAAAGTGAGAAACTAAATAATAAAGGTATTAAGTGCGACTGAAAAAAAGGTAAAGAACGAGTAAAAATTAAACAACGCAGATTTAAGAGATAAAGACTTCTTCAGATCAAATAAGAGGCTGAATATTATGTCGTCAAAATATTATGAAAACAAACCGGATAATATCTGGCTGAGGTGCACTTCAAGGGTTTAGGAATGGAGTGAAATGAATTCCTCTCTATAACATGTAAAACTTTAAAGAGTAAGATGTATACAGCTCATAAAGCTGCCTGTTCGTTGGCACATAACAAACGGCGTCTACTCTAGTTAAGCAGTTACTTGGGGTCGTCACCCGAGTCACCCAGACCAACGTCCATGCACATCATCACTAGGAAGCCAATGATACACGCTACTGAGGCAAGCTTTCCATTTCCGCTCCGTTGTGCCTCTGGTATGATGTCGTCAACTACAACGTAGATCATTGCTCCAGCAGCAAAAGCCAATGCATACGGTAGTAAGGGCTCCATCAAAATGATAGCTGCAGCTCCCAGTAAAGCCGAGATTGGTTCCACCATTCCAGACAACTGACCGTACCAAAACGCCTGGAAATATTATGTTTACATTGTGAGACCAGAAAATTCGAGCGATTATCATGGTACGATTCTAAGTTCTGCCTGAAACAAACAAGCTCAAGTTGACAACAGTTTTGGAAAGTCACAAATAGTCGACAATACTGAAGGTCAAGAGAAACATTCTTAGCGAACTGCCTCTAAAAAATTATTTCTTACTTTTTACTCCAAAGGAAAAGCGTGAATATTGACTTTGCTTTGACTAAGAAAGTGCAGGGATTTTTCAATAAAAAGTAACAATTGATTACCGCGTGCCCAACTCGGAACTAGAACTATAGATGGAGGAGTTTCCACTTGCTTCTTAAAATTCGGATTAAAGTGTTGGGATTGGAATGCGATGCTCGAATAGAAAACTATTCATGTGGACCCTAGGGAATGTTAGAATGAATGTGGGTTGTAGTAGAGAGATCGAAGCCTTTGAGAGCTACAATTACGGCAAAATAATACATATCGAATACAACCAGTTCTCTACTCCTAACCAAGAACAGTCATGAATAATGACATTTTCGATTACGTTATGAATCCTCCTATAAAGTCGGCAAAGTAACCTAAGCAAGAGAACAGAGGAGGCATAACTAATTTTTTTCCAAGTAAATAAGTATGACTCACCTTCAGCTTTGAATGACCAAAAGCTGCCAATGGTAACGAAACAGCCAATCCTTCAGGAAAGTTTTGAAGTCCGATACCAATTGCCAAATTAAATGCTGTCTCAAATTTAGCCGACTCAGTCTTTCCAATGGAACCGAAACCCACACCAACGGCAAGGCCCTGTAACACCGAAGTTCACTGCAACATGTTGAAAACCATTTCTTTGAACTTGGTATGAAACTATTACCTCCGGTATGTTGTGCACCGTGACAGCTAAAATAAGAAGCATGATCCTCCTCCATGATGACCGATACTCATCTTCAAGACGACGCATCGTTTCCTTGTCACGTGCTTCCGTTGAATCACTCCCTTCACCGATTTCTTCAGCATCAGAAGGCCTACAAGAGTTCTCGTTATGCATGCAACACACTTCCACACGTGCAAGTAGCCCAAGCATCAATAAAGCGGAGGCAGAAGCTTTTCAAATGACAATGCATTAAAACAGAAACGTAAAACATGATCAAACGGAAGCACAACATAGAAATTATCTGAAGCGAAGGTAATCGATCTTACAAAAAGAGAACCACCGCCCGGAAAAAACACAAATGTGCAATTCAGGGGGAAGCGTGAAAGGTAGCCGCGCAAATTTCCACAGTAAGACAGAAGGTCTATCAGCAAGTAACAAAAAAGCACAATGACACGCACACAACGTGCATGTGGGTGGCGACAGGGCGGTGGCTCACCTATTTCTAGTGCCACGACGGCGCAAAGCTGAAGACTTTGTGGTAACAGAGTCGTACCGAGACGCTGATGTGCTCTCAGAACCATTAGCAGCTGTTACGAGTGATAATTGCGTATCAGTTTTCGCCGGGGCCAAGTAGTCCATGACAACCGTATCGCCCATCACACAGCTATAACAATAACTTTTACACAGGGTGGTACAATATAACTAAAAATTAAATCTTTACACAAGTTTGGTGGTTTCGTTGAATCCTGACTCACATACAAAAAATCTTAGTCCTAGACCCAATAAAGAGCTCGGAGAATGAATTATTTATAAGCATTTACCAATCTGTTTTTCAAAATTCCGATTTTTTTCCTAACGAGAATCTTTTTTCTTTTGTGATTGTATCAGGAAGCGAAATACTGAGAGCGGCAAAAAAGGTACATCAAATGAAGCGCTACTAAGTTGACGAAAGCTTCACAAAGAAATTTTGTGATAGCTGCACTAATAAACTGTTTAGTTGATTGTAGCCGAACGTAGGTATGTCACCTGGGCAGCATCCGATCAGCAAAATGTACAAATGCAGCGCCAACAGCAAATCCAACTGCCACCGGAAGAAATGCTAGTGATCCCATTGTCTTCTCCGAAATTTCTATGGCAGGAGCTAGCAACGACCAGAATGATGCCGCTGTCATGACTCCAGCAGCAAAACCCAAGCTGAGATCTATAAAAAGAAAACATTATTCGCCCAGTAACATCAAATACGAAGGAACCACAAGAAAACTAATTTGTAAGTGGTGTCAAAATGCAGGCCACTCAGATACACATACAGCTAAAGCCGGTTTAACAAACAAAATTTCTGCACGGCGTGCTGGTGATGGATTCATGTCTCTGAACGAACGGCGGCCGACCCTTACAGAATCTTGATGATTCTATTAATAATAATAAAAACATAAAATTGATAGGGAATCGAAAATAACAATTGGATGCTGACGTTTTTCCAAACCGTCTCCGGTTATAGTTCACGGTTATCCTTTCGCAGCATAAGCAACCGAACATAATGTGGATATGAAGCTCCAGAAAGGTTATAATTCACACTTTCGTTTGTTGAATTCCACGAAGAATAAAGGGAAGTGCGCCAATACCTTCGATCAATTTTCTACTGTGAGGGAACGGTAAAGAAGAGGGAATAGTGCCGAGAGGTTGGTTGATGGCTCAACATTCAGCGTTCCTTCATTGAAAAAAGGTTATTTGCTAACACGTTAAGCCTTTCTATTAAGAAATCGAGAAATAATTCTACGATGAGCCTTGTGGTTCCATTTTTTTNTTTTTTTCACTTTAACTGTGAAAACGACTTCTCACTTGATAGCATCGTAGGAAGTTTATTATGCCTCACCCTCTTACAGAGAATGAGCCGTGTCGACGAACGAAGCCTGGCAGTAACTCCCAATTAGAACGTCGGTATGTTTACATTCCAATATTTGCCTTCACATTAATTAAGTTCGCGTGACACGACAGTATTCAATTTTTCTTGAACTTATTTACGAATGATTTTAAAGGTGGGTAAGCAGAATTCTGCGAAATCTTTCCCATACCTGGTATAGCAAGTTATACATAACACCGATACGGTTCGAAGAAAAAAAAACAAAAAATGATGTTCTCTCGCCGACAAGATCTTTGTCTGGCGACTCTTTGATAACGAAAAGATGTTTTGAGAGCGGAAAAGTGCTGCAAACAACTCTAGGGTTCCCCTATGAGTAGGTAGTATTACTAACACAATTCACCCCATGTTTTTCTGTTCGGTCAAGAAAACTAATCGAAAAGATATGACCTGGATGGCCATTGTTATCCAACAATTTTGAACAGATTTTTAAAGCTTACCAAGTAACTTGCGATTCTGGTGTTTCATCACGAATACTAAAGATGATCCAAGTGCAGTTACACCCCACGTAAAGCAACCAGCAATAAGTGCCTGCCAAACTGAATTCAATCCTCTGATCATGCTGATCTGAAATATAATATCGAAGAATTAAATATAGTTGAAAACTGAAATATTGTCGTTTAAGACAAACTTATAAAAAGCTCCCATCATTTTTAGATCCATAAAAACATGGGAATGAACTTTAAAGTGTTGTACTATTCAGTGTAAAGGAAGGATAATAAGAACGACCATCACTAAGCAAACAATGAAGTGCGATAAACACTGATATGCTCCGATAATCAAGCCTTGCAGTCCGTGAAATTGCGCCAACGCATCAACATTACGAGAAAACACAGACTACCATGTTCTCCATGAAGACTTCACTATTAGGGTAACGTTAGATCATAAAAGCCTACCTCAAAATATTTTGGGATGATCAATATGGGTTGTTCGGTTCGTCAAGTTCTACCGAAAAATGATAGTTGGCAAAAAGAAAGTTAGTTATTGCTTCAGCCCTCAGCCCTTTGGACGATCTTTCATAAATAAATATGGACAAGAAAATGCCGGGGAAAGTTGGGGGGACGGGGGGGGGGGGGGGGGGGGGGGGGGGGGGGNGCTGGGAGGGGCACCCACTGTTATCCAACACTGAGGGTTATGGCGCAACGAAGTCAACATTACTTATGCTTAGAGACGATTTTTAGCCAAAGGAATAAAGTTTTTACCTCACCCTTAGGAGGAGACGAGCACTGCGATAAATGAGGTGATTATTTTGTGTAGAAAGCTGGGTGGGGTAGGAACTGAGGACTCAATTGACTTATCTAACCTAGGGCTCGTTCCTTCCTTACTGTGGCTTGGGTAAAATAAAAAGTTTATTTCCTTACCCAGAAAACTGTCCTACACATTATTATGGATTCGCAAAGTGGGCCACCATTCCATATCTGTGTTCTAGGGCTCAAGGTAGGGAAGGCTGTATCCCCGTATTCCTTCCCTACCCCTTAAAGCTAGACTATCACCCGAATTGCAATTGAGGGCCCTTAAGCGCAACCCTTACTACTGCACTTCTGTTGAAAAGGTGGGCATAAACTTTTGGTTGTGGAAGCACTGCCTTGTGTTGCTATAAACTTCACTTGATCATGCCTATGGATGCAGTTGAACAATCCCTACCATAAATGAAAAATAAACAAACAAATAAATAAGTTTATTCCAATGTTCAACTTATGAATTGATTAATGAGTTCAAGAACTTACATCACCAAAGATGTGGTCTAATCTCATGATTCAGCTGCCTGTTCTTCGAGACACCCCAGTAGTCCAGTCTACTACCGGCTCCAATCAGAATCATTTCCCGGGAGTGGCATAATTCTGATCGGCGCCATATAGGTCAAGGTAACGATCATTTGTCATACTTCAGTGGAAACATTTTTCGCTACGGCTATCTCTTCTTCAGAATGGCCTGAACGGGACTCGCTTGCCTTCCAGTAACCGTATTGCAGTTTCACGCTTGAAAAAGCTTTCTCTTATGGATCTTCAATTGATGAAATCATTCAAGTGATTATACTGATCCTTTCTACTGACAGGATCACCTGGACATGCTAAGATCATATATAAAGTATCGGGTTTTAAGGTACGAAATAATGTAGCACTAATGAATAAGGCTAAAGGATTAAGTTTTGAGCGCTAATCAATCCCGTCCGAGGATGCGCCCACGCCTTCAACTTCCATTCAGAATCGTAGTGGCCAGTTGAATGTGTATGGACCTATACAATGCCTTGCAGTGGCCAGCCGATGTTTAAGTCAGTGCTTTTATCCTCCCAGACGAGTCTGATACCAATTAGCCGACCCCGGAGGGATGGAAAGCTTAGTTGACCCAGGCGGAATTCGAACCCTTTATCGTGCGTGTGAAATAATGCGCCACTTGCCACTACACCACCTTCGCCCTAATGTAAATGTAACACTTCAAAAAAAGACTTTCCAATTCACAAGCTATTTATCTCTCTGTTCATACGTCACCACAGTATGAATTGTTGTTTACAATGGAGAAGAGCATTTCGTTTATTCATTGGTAAGGTTTAGATTGAGGGGTCTGATGAATCATCTCCTTCTATAACACAATTTGGGTCGCGTACCCTTTCTGCTGGGGGAAGTGAAACTGTAACTCCCTCTGTTAGCTATATATGATGGTGTATATCACGTTCTCCTCTTCTGAATGAAGACCCGTCTGTAACAAGTAGTATACTCATGAAATTGAGCCTCTGCTGCTGAGCAGGTCATTGTGTCTGAAACACATTCTGTCCCCATCTTAAATGACTATACTCGTATATGATAACGTATCCAATCAATTGATCTGGGAGTAACCCAAATAAGGTAATCATCAAGGTGGGTTGTAATTCCCTGCGTCGTTATGGTCTCCATTTTTTGACGAACGATCTGAGCATTTTAGTAACAATGGGAAGAAACGAAGTGTGGAAGTCAGGCCGAAAGGGAGTACGCTAAGTTCACAGAAATTGCCTCCTATTCGGAACCCAGAAATTGCTGACTATGTACCGCAATGTGAGCATGATGATATCTTTCTCTGAAATCGAAAGATGTCATGAATCCTGCCCTT